GATATTACAACACGCATTGATAATTTATTGTAGCAAATGTTGTACCAAACAACTGACGAAAACAAGATACCAGGATTTTTTTGTTTTTTCAGACTGATAACGTGTAAATGAGGTTTAATCTGTATCGTGGGTGATCTGAATGAAGAACGGTCGATTTTTGTGAAGTTAAATAAAGTATTTTGCGAGTTTATGTTTCCAGTTATTTATTAATAAAAATGGAACATGTGTACACTAATGAGGAGTTTGTGGACATTGTGTTAGCGTGTTAGCAAAATTCGCGAGCGGTTTCTCGTTTGTATGCACATCGATTTCCGAATAGGCACATACCACATCCCGAAACATTTAGTTCAATTGTTTTACGTGCACGTGCTAGTGGAGATTTGCGCCCCAGACGTGGAGTGGATGGGGGTAGGGTTCGCCCACAACGCGTTTTAAATGCCGAGAAGAAATTTTGGATATTGTGGAAGAAAATCCGGGAATAAGCACAAGGCAGTTAGTCCAACAGGTCCCAGAAGTGTCACATGCAACAGCGTGGAGCATATTACATATTATTTTATTATCTCGATTTCTGTAGGACATTTATTACATTTTTTTTTTTGAGAAATCAACTTTCGTAATAGTGCATATGTGGTTAAAATTTGTCGGATAAGTTGTGAAACACCCTGTATAGAAAATATTGCCTATTGATCAGACCATAACGTATGGAAATATTTTAAACGACGATATCGCCAGAACCTGTTATTTGCTTTGGGGCAGTATTTAAAAGAGATGAAATTAGACCCGCGAAGTTATTCATACGACAAATATTTGCTTTCTTCGTGTGAAAAGTAACGTAACAAGCCGGTCTAGCAGCGAGCAGCAAGTCGTACTGCCTACGTAACTATAGTACACTTGAATATGAGACATGTTAATTTCTGTATAACATGAAAATGTTGACAAATTTTTCAGCTGCATGCAGGATCGGTCTTAGAATCAATATCATAAGAGATATCACATTTAGGCTCTATTGAATCGAAATGAAACAAAATCTCGTTAGTCGACAAAAAAAAGGGATGTGCAACTGAATGTTGTTGAATGAAACATCAGAAACTTATCAAAATACCATTTTATCAATAACTACAAACAAACTAGTATTATAGCTTTCGTTTGTCCGACCACAGATGGTCAAAATGTGAACACAGCTGTTTCGTGATATTGGGCAACTCTTCACTATGGTGTAGGCTTAGTCTTGGTGGACGAGACAGCACAAGGTGGCATCTGTAAATAGATTTTCACTTTCACTGTAATCGGGGTACAGTCTGTCCTGTCTTATTTCAAAAATACAAGGTCAATGGTCACTTTACTTGAATTCACCTGAAGAGTCATTATATTATTCAATTTCAATTCCAATAGCGATTCGCCAAAACGAAAATTCTTGAAGTATATAAATTTTTATACTTTATTGCAGTAAATAAACTCCTCCGAATTGTCCCGGTTCGGAGTTCAGCGTGTAAGAGGATCCGACGATCTCTATATTCAATAGTCAACACAGGTTTAAGCTGTCCCCGATTTGCACCATGAGTTTCATAGTGTTCAAAAGTCCTAAAACGTGGACAAAACAAGAAAGATTCACTAAATTTCACACAAAAAACTTCATTTGCATGGCCGATAACGCATAATCCATTACAGTTACAATACAGTTAGTTGGGCATCTTTCCATTATAGACAAGACAAGAGCTTATCTTCATTTTAACGCTTGATGCGACAGATATTCACTTCACTACAATTCCGCATGCAGAGCCACAATAGCATTCGTGTTATCAAAAGATTAATTATGCATCCCCATAAATGTGAACAAAACCTGAAATTAAATGCAAAACATTTGGCATTATATTGGAGGTCTATGTTGTAAATTGTATACTATAGTATAGACCATAGCTGGAAGGAAACGGCAGTGCATAGGTGGATAGGGTGGATGTGTGTGCTAATAATCTGTGTCGAAGATAATTCCATTGGTTTCTTGTCTCAAATAGACTTACTTGAGATGTATTCACCACCTGGAAATTACATAGGTATGCAAGTTTGCTGTATTCCAAAAATGAGAGAGATAAGAAAAGAACATCCCTGATCGGTGAAGTAACAGGTGAGAAAATGCTAGACAGGAATATTTATGGAAGTGAAAAGCTCCATCCAGTCATTTAAATTATATAGAAATTTATTTTGCGATATCGATAGAAAATACAAATCAGCGCCTAGATGCGAGGCACTACGAAAATGGTTGAAGAGTGATGCTGTCATTCCTAATTTTTCTGTGATGTGGCTGAATTGCACACAACGCGGGCGCGGTGGCCATTTCCCGTAATGCTCCTCCATGTTTTTGAAAACAGAAAAAACGGGAAAAATCGTAATTTATAACTTTGTCTTCAGAAAGGACAACATAGTCGGGGGCACAGCTAATAGATATACTTTATTGGCAGCATATTCAGTAATAATTTTATCACATAGCAAATGTCACTGATTTTATACAAATGCAGACCAATACCCACAATCATCCACATGCGATCTTACTACTCAACCAACTTTCTTTTTTTCACATCTTCTCAGATAAACACTACAGACTACTCGGCTTCACAAAACATATACTTGCTTTCTGCAACCAACAATGCGTGTAGTTGAGTCATTGCTCCATTGATGGACGTTCACATCGAACATAGCGAGTAAACGTGGAATGAACTAGTTGCACCCTAAAAAGTACCTAGTCTGCAAGATGACGTTTTATTACTTTTGTTTACGTTTTATAGGTTTTTTACATGATATCCGTGCGGAAACTAATCGTATGGACAAATTTGTAAAAGTGGGGACAGAAACATGGGATTATTCGATGCTTCTCGATAGAGGAAGCTGGGAAATACGAAAAATGGAGAAAAACTCATTATATCGCTCCTCTGCTGTAATTTAGTATTCACAGGGCATCGCACTTATAGAACCTATATTTGATAAATTGACGATATGATTCTAATCTTGCTGAAATCATTCCAGCTCAATTTTCTTCAACGTTTAAATACAGAGATTCATCTGACAGGTCATCGTATGAAGTCCTGACCTGGCTCGTACCCTTCAGAGCCGCTCCTTCAGATTCAGTTCATTCATCCGCGATGAAGCGTAGGCTTCAAATTATAGTCAGTCACAAAGAAAATAGTACACCCAATAAAATGATTTTCTTTGAATGAAGTTATACAGGGTGGCGCATCGAAAACGAAACAGACGCATTACTGCAGCTCAGTTTTTTTTTTGGAAAAACGCTCAGACCCGCCGATTTTGTTTTCGAGGGGGCACAAGTTTGGCAAAAAATCACGTTAGCACGTGCAGCCCCCTAAGCGGGGGTGACACCACCCCAAAAATCTTAAATGGAAAGGGGGGTCGAGTGATACCTTATTTTAAAGGTCTTTCAATTCCCTTTATAATGATATAAAATTGATGTACTTCAGTTCAGTAGATCATTCTGATTTTCAATTATGGCTGTTAATGCAGGATCTATGGCGTCTTCCAGTAATTCCAAATCCATTTCACCGGACAAATTTCCAGGTAAGAAAAAAGGACCAACTAAATGATCGCCAAAATACCAGCCCAAACATTTAATTTTTGTGGCTGCTGTGTATGAACCTCATGATAAATTCTAGGATTAGAATCGGACCAATATCGGCAGTTATGACGATTTACTACGCCATTTAAGAAAAGGAACATTCGTCGGAAAAGCAAGTGTTGAATAGAAAATGTTCATCGTTTATAATTCGTTCACTCATATCTTCACAAAATTGTAATCGCCGATCAAAATCGTCTTCATTAAGTTCTTGTACCAGGTGAATTTTATACGGATGAAAACTATGGGCCTTTAGAATCCGTTGGACAGTACGTCGACTAACACCACACACAGTCTCCAACTTGCGGGTACTTAACATATCTACATAAACTTGCCCTAAAACCCCCACTTATATTGCTTCGTTCCTTATGGGATTTTCAATGTTGCGTTTTTTATTGGCGACTGACCCAGTTTCCCGAAATTTAGCTACAAGTTCATATTTTCGATGCACGTTACTGTTCTCATGTCGCTCATTAAATATTTCTGCTGTTCTATTAGCGCACTGATTATTTCCGAAAAATATTTCGATAATTTCAACTCTTTTTGCTGTGGAATATACCATGGTTAATTTATGTAATAAAGCGTTACAAATTATTTTAGCAACAAAGTTTGGTCAAATCAATCGCAAACTATGTACTAAATTCCTATTTAAAATAAGTACGAGATATTTCCTTATCTTTCTTCAGGAAATAACTTTTTTGCCACAAAAAACGCTCTAATAGCTATTTTCAAAGCCTTTACTTATTAAGTAAATTCTTTTAGTCAAATTTCTTCAGAAAGTAGTACAAACTAATCTGATGTACCTATTAAAGTCTACTTTAAGCTTTAAATCAATAATTCTTCAAAACTGATGAACTGAAGCTCATGTATTTTACATCATTATAAAAGGAATTGAAAGACTTTTAAAATAAGGTATCACTCCATTTAAGATTTTAGGGTAGGTGTCACCCCCGCCCAGGGGGCTGCACGTGTTAACGTGATTTTTTGCCAAACTTGTGTCCCCCTCGAAAACAAAATTCACGGGTCTGAGCGTTTTTCCAAAAAAAACTGAGCTGCCAGTAAATGCGCCTGTTTTGTTTTCGATGCGCCACCCTGTATATAATCGGCTTGACTCATGACACCATGTGCGTAGCTTAACTTTCCCGAGGGATACTGCACACTGCACAATCCGATCCGTAACACAGCTACTACTAGCTTGTTTTCACTCACTTTCTGAAAATACTATTCGACATATGTCGACATTGTAGTTGCACTTTTAGGCATTACTTTGTTTTATACCAAAGATCAACAATGGTAAACACAAATCGCATGCCCTTGTTAAGCAAGTTGTCATACTGACTGTGACAATCATAAATGTGGAAGACATACGTTGACGAGAAAATGTTCAAGGCGGTGAGACAAAGCTAAAAAATGGCGCCAAGTAAGTTGACTCTGTACTTCCCATGTGCAAAGTTAGTTATTCTGAGAAAAAAGTTAGCTACGAAAATGTATAACACAAAAATTAAATGACCTTCCTCCTCCCCCTACGAGGAATTGCGCGTGAATGACGATATTGGCCTTGGCCATGCACAGTGCACACTGCCGACATCAGTGCTGACTGAAGCGACTGCTGGCTGTGATCTACGACCACCGACGGCGACCGCTTGTCCTTCGGGGGACCACGTCGCACGTATCGACACCACACTGTAATATATATTTTTAAGGGTGGAGCAATCGATGGTACGGGGAGATGCCAGACTCAAGTTCGTTGCCAGTAATTCATAACAGTAGAAGCGGACACTACGTTTGCTTTTATCAAATTGACCTCGCACAAATTTATATTTCGTCCGAACATAATCAAAACTGTGAGTATCCCACGTCGGGATATTAGATAAGTTGTATATACATATTGCACAAAATGTGTTGAATAGAGATTTGTAACTTCTAATATAATCAAAGTACTATGTTTCTTCTTGATTGTGTACATACAGGGTAAGAGGGCATATGCCGTCTCACCTATGCACAATTTCTACGGAAATTTTAATACATGATTTTGTAAAAATAATATATTATCATATGTTGCACCAGCAACTTCAGCGATGTCAGCTATTTTTTGCCCACTTAACCTGTTCTACAACTAAGAAATGCATAAGTGGTTCAAAGCTATCCAGTCACCGAGCTTTTTAAGCAGGCGTGTCTTCGAGCGGCCACAGTAATCAATGGTCAAAATGGATTTCTCCAGAGAGGATATATACCCCTGCAAATATCACAGACAATGACCTTGCGGATTTTTCTGTTTCTATAGTGCTGGATAACCTTGGAGATGCCCAAGACTCCCAGTAAAAAATATTCAAGCTAACACAGAACATACAGTAACAGCAAACTGTGCCCCTCTAACGTGACACTGGTGACGCTTAGAACCTTTCCAAATGACCGAGCTTTAAGTTCTCAGTCAAACGTCCAAAACAAGACGGGGCGGGGCCTTCAAAACCTGATTACTTTCACTCAACCGATGTTTCAGTAACATACGCTTCAGGGTATGCGAGATCTAAGTTCATTAATCAGTCATAGCAGAAACTTCTACGTTATCAATACCCTCATACGTAAAGCGAATAACCCGTAAAAATGGAATGTTGAATGCATCTTTCACATATATTACAAAACATAAGCATTTATTAAATTTCCTCTCACATGACCATCACGCCAGATCCAAAGATCATTCAGTACGCATACCAAAGCCTAAAAAGACCATAGGTCAGAGGAGTTTCACTTTCCAAATAGCAGCTACCATTTTTGTCAGCAGATTCGTGTGGTTCAATCAGCATAACTTACTGTAACTCCTGAAAAGTACACGAACACTCGAGTATACGAGATTCTACATCGGAATGCTTTATACATGATGTCAAGTAGTAAAACAATCAGCATGACCTAAAAAGTACATGAAAACTCCGAAAACGTCGCAAACACACACTTTTCCTCATCCTGTATGGCCAGAGTGCAATACATGTCTTAACAACATTCCCATTTGATAATTATTTCAAAAATGCATAGCTATCGAGTCTTCAGGGCGTTCGTGTAATTATAAAACGTAGGCAGACTAATGACTGATGATCGCCTGACCTCATTCATGAAAATGGATTCTGAGGTAGTAACTCGAGCTCGACATAAATTTGTTTTCAAGAATGGTGGTGGCTATTTGAATTCGCAAAGATGACCTCCAAATGGCCTCTGAGGTCATCAACAAATTGCTTGATACCTATAAACTTTCCTTTGAGCCCATTTTTCAAAAACTGCATGGTTACCAACTTTTCCGGAGGTTCGAGCACCTTTCATATAGTATTACAGTAAGTCATACAGATTGAACCACTTATGACCGCTTGATCTATGAAAATGGAAATTGGTGTAAGAACTCGAGCTCGACACGAATCTGCTGTCAAAAATGGTGATTGCTATTTGAATTTCCAAGATTCACCTCTCATTACCATTTTTCCAAAAAATGTGTGGTTGCCAAGTTTTCGGGGTGATCGAGTATTTATTAGACCGTAATTAAAAGAGCAGTATTTCTGAACAAAATTCAACCAGAAAAGACCATATAAACATGTAACCTAAAAAGACAGGTTTCCAAGAAACATGGTGTCAAAGATTAAAAAAATGATTTTGGATAGAGGAAAAACAAGCTCAAACTGTCACGGAAAGGAAAACATATGTTGAAAACAACAGACTACCTAGTAATGAACAAAGTTGATTTGATCTTATAGGTTGACTTTGAAGTTGAGTCATTAATTTTCAGATAATGATTGTAGAAGGAAGATAACCAAAATATGTGTGTAAAAATAAAAAAAAATTAAAAAAAAAATGTTACCTTGTTTTATAAAGTATCCTCCCGACAAGTATTTCAGTGCGGACCTGTATTGATCGTGCCGTCTTGGAGCACTGGCATGCCCTCCCCTGTGAGGTCTTAAGCCACCTGATTCACGAGCCCTTTGTACTACATTAACAAAGGCACGAGGGGTTGGTTGCACTCGATTGGAAACCGATCCGCATAAATTCGTGATGCCGCGGCAGCATTTTGTAAAGACTCTCCCCCCCCCGTAAATAAGAATCACAAATGGACAAGATCAGCATTGACTGAATACAACTGAATAAAATTGTAGTAAAAACATCGTGATAAGCGTTTCAAATTCTTTCGCTTTTTTGTTTCCGATGCGATGAACCGATAAGGCGGATTATATCCGTTGTTGCCAAACACGAGCACATAATATTATTATTGAGACAGGGCGGTACTCAAACTTCTAAAGGGCTATAACTTTGTTACTTTAATTTTACCAGAAAAATGTTAAAGGAAAAAAACATTTCTTTTGATCAGATCTACTTACTGTTAAAATAAATGACTCAACTTCGAAGTCACCCTGTATAAATAACTATGTCTCGTTTCCACGCGTCAGCATCGTTTATTGTGTAATATTATTTATTTTATTTGAAATCAATTTATTAGTTAACTGCTACAAAGAATAATGAATTATTGAGGAGATCATCAAATAGACATGCTCCTTATTTATGGTGAATGCCAAAAAAAAATCGAGGCGCGCCGCAAGATTATATCAGGAGCGGTTTCCAGATCGTCAAGCTCCATCACATGCCCATTATCCTTGGCTCGTAGAATATTTGAAAAATGAACATAATTATCCTATTAATGATAATGGTTTTATAGTCAGCGAAGAAGTCGAAATAAACGTCCTAGCGTACGTAGAATATGATCGTACTGCTTCTACTCGCGAAATAGGTGCCAAATTTCTCACGAAAGTGGAAGAAATATTTCAAAGAAACATGGCTTTAGATCTTTCAAGTACCAAATTCATAACCATCTGTTTGAAAATTATTTTCCAAGACGGTTTAATTATTGCAACTGGTTTTTGAATAATTTGAACATAAATGCTGTCTTCCATCACTATATTATTTTTTCGAATGAATCCAGGTTTACTAATCTAGGGATGTCGACATGTATTTAAGTTGTTTTATTTTTTCCTCGAATGTGAAGTAAGATACGAAGCGATATCAGGAGACAAAAAAGCTGGTTAAACCAAAAAACGTTTAATTTTTTCCCGATATTATTATGAGACAGCCCCTCCCAAACCCTACCGGAATTCATAATTATTTTTAGTTAGTGCTAACTTAGTCTTATTTCAGTGAACAAGACTGCCAAAATTCAACATAATCGGCACATGAATCTTTGAGATATTAATAAAAGGCTCTAACGAATAGACGTTCATCAGTATTTTGCAAATATGAAGATATTTTGTGTTATGCAGAATCTCGTCTACTTTTAGTAGATTATTTAAAAAAAATAATCCCACAATACTTCTTCTGCAATCATATTCATTATATTACATGACCAGCTTTCCATAGCCGATCAATGGTAAACTAACTACAACGTAAGACAGTTGATTCGGATACCGTGCATCATCCGTAATCAAAGCCCATAATTTCAATGTTTGTCAAATGAGCAATGCTTTTTGCCACAGATATTCATTTCACTCTAAGGCTTTATGCCAGGGTACAATGATTTGCATAGCCGCTAAGCAAATAATACCACAGTATGCAAAAGTTGACTCGAATATTATATGATCTATACCGGATGTTCCCAATTCGATCCTCACCGTTGGGATCTCAAAAACTGTAAGAGTACGAAGTCGCTTAGATGGGCAAAGTTGCGTATTTAGGTTAATACCAAAATGCCACTTAGAAAATCGTTTTAATTTTTTCCTGATTTTCTTCGTAGTCTGATTTCAAAATAAATTGCACATTAACAATACCACTTTTTCTCCTCTACTAGATGACATAATTAGAATTTGAATATGATGCTTCGTCTCTTGTCCTCCAGCATCAACTTTAGGCCATTTTGGATTTATGCACAGATTAATAAGTTGTTAGTTCTGATTTCAAAAATGTATAATACTGAGATCGCCAAACCTTAGATATTTAAAAAAAATCATAATTTCCTAGATGCTTTGAAATTATATCTATTTGTTTCACATACCAGATTAATCTCAACATTATTTTTATTTTTTCCTGAACTCATTTGAGATGGGATTTCAAAATAAATTGCATATTGTCATTTTGACTTATTCTTCTCTACAAGATGATAGTCAAATTTTCAATTCAAGGTTTCCTCTTTCAGTACTTCATTACCAACTTTATTTTTCCATACGGACGCTAATTGGAATTTTGTACAGTTAAATCAGCTGTTCAGTCAGTGATGTATTTTATAAAGTTGGCCATGAATTTGTTGTTGGATGAAAATTACGAGAAAATAAAAAGGTATGATGAAACCTGAACTCAAAATGAATATTTTATTGGTAATAACGATAATAATCATGAATACCATAGGCAGAGCTAAATCATGGCAGATATTACTTATAAACTCTGTTGCTGTTCAATACGAGGTGTGGCCTGGTACAGGGAACAAATTAATGATTATCTGATAATTTCAAGGCCTACTGAGGAAGTTCTATTTTTCTGGAATAACTAATGTTTGCAATGTCAATGTGTGACATACTATACATTTTTAAAATGAGAATTAAAAACTCTATCCATCTGCGAAAAAATGCAATATGGCGTCCATAAGAGAAAATAAGGAAAAAGTGGCAATGTTAATGTGCAATTTCCTATAACTTTTGTTGGTTACCTAAATACGCAACTTTGCCATGATTTGAGCTACTTCGTATCTCGTACCATTTCCGATATCCCAATGGTGAGGGTCGAATTTGAAACACCCGGACTGATACGGATAAACCCCAAAATGCGGTTACAGTTAGGTTTAGCCGGTTAGAACCAGGCGTAGCAAAAATCAGTTGGCTAATCTTAGGTGTAGTCTATATATTCATTGCCAAACCTATGATTAGTATTCGGTTACTGCTTGGTCTAGCCAAGCTCGCACCAGCTGCAACTAGTCCTAGCCAATCCTTAGTGGTTAAAACTAGAAATAAATATAACAAACATTTTTGGAGGTTATTTTTAAAGAAAACATAATGTCATCATTTTCATATTATTTGTTTCAGCAATTAATTTCTTAAACATAACTCAATCATACCTTTACATTGTCGTCTTAGATAAGCAACCATAATAATAAAAAACTAATTCTAGTTTTGAAATTAGACGTAGTTATATCAGCATGAGTTTACGTATACATCATGTTTTAACCCCAAGGATTGCCTAGACCTATTTGGAGCCGGTATCAGGTTGGATGGCCCTAGTTTTTACCGAATGCAACAGGCTAATCCTAGAAGACTAGTCAACTGCCAGTGGCTACACCAGATCTAACCGATTGATCCCACTTATAACCGAATTACGGGCTTTAGGCGTATAACACATGTACAAAGTTCCTTTGTCCAGAATTGAGTGGGAAGTACGGAGTTAATCTACTTGAGGCCATTTTTTGTGACGGTTGAGTAGAGAGAAGAATTGACATTATTCTGTTTGAAGGTATTTTTTGAGTTTTAAATAACGTTGAAAGACTTCTCAAAAAATAATTTAGACATTTTTTTGTCAGATACAAAAGCTAAAGCGGCCTGTAGACGTTCAATATTATTTTGCAATGTGGATTGCACAATATTTTGACTGTGACCTATACGCGGTCGATATTATTGTACAGGGTGGGCCATAAGAGTGTTGGCGATTTAAATCTTAAATTTCTCGGAAACCCTGGGCGCGGGTTGGGGGGAGAGGATAAGCTGTTAGCCGCGCCGTTGCCTGGAAATTTAGTCGCCACGGAGCCGTACACGGGAGCGCAGCGTGCATTTTGTGTCCGAGCGTATTACGAAAACAATAAATCGGTTATTACTGCACGACGTTTGTATCGGCATGAACACGGTTTACGCGATTTAAGAGTTCCAAGCGCCAATGTGATACGGAAATGGATCAGAATGTTCGAAACAACCGGCCGACAATGTAAAGCGTGTTCGTATTTCAGTTCAGCGAAATGCGCAACAGTCAACAAGTAAGAGAAATCAGGCTTTGGACATCAAAAGAACGAGCTTGCGGCGAATTTTGAAGCGTGATTTGTATTTGAAGGGTTATAAGATTCAACTAGTCCAAGAATTAGAAAAAGATGATGCCAATAACCAACTTAACTTTGTCAATTTGATGCTCGACCGATTCAACAGTTTTAACAACGTGATGTTTAGTGATGCGGTCAATTTTCACCTCAATGGCCATGTTAACAAACAAAATTATCGGTTCTGGTCCGAAACTAATCCCCGACGCTTGCATGAACGTCCACTTCACAGCTCTAAACTAGTCGTGTGGGCTGGAATTACGTCAACCGATATTATTGGACCGTACTTTTTTGAGGAAGAAAGAGGGCAAGCGATGCCAGTTAAAGCTAACAATTATTGCAATATGATAACAGACTTTTTGGTGCCAGCTTTGCAAGAACTCCAAGGCAATACCTATAGAATGTAGTTTCAACAAGATGGGACCACATGTCATACAGCTAGGGTATCTATAGAGCTGCTGAAAAATGTCTTTCCCGGAAAACTCATTTCGAAAAGGGGGGATATTGAATTGCCACCATGTAGCCCCGATCTTTCTCCATGTGATTATTTCCTATGGGGCTACCTCAAATCGGTGGTCTACGAGAATAATTCAACTAATTTAGAGCAGCTGAAGAGGAATATTGTTCAGGAAAGTAACAAAATACCGAGAACAACTTTTCAACGAGTTTTCCAAAATCTGCAGCTTCGGTTTCAAGAGTGCAAAGCAGCCGAAGGAAGTAATTGTTACAACATAATTTTTAAGTCTTAAAAATTCTTATCTTTCTACTTTTTAAAAATACATTCATTTTTCTTTTATATTGCGTAGATATTTTTTAATTGAATATTGAAATTGCCAACACCTTTATGGCCCACCCTGTACAATATTTTGGTTTGCACGAAAGATTGTACCGTATGGAGGCGATATTGAAGGTTTTATAATAAATATGTGGTACAAGCGTGAGCACAGACGCACAAACACGTTGTGCAAACAGCCCTTGTGAGAATTTCATGCACTTAGCGTGAAAGAGAGTTGTATTGCGTGGTAATAGATGTGGCCGCAAGTGCAAAAAAAGAAAAGAAAAAGTACACCCACGAAAAATTACTCAATGAACTAAAAATAGTTGAACCAAATGAATTCCACAACTTTTGACGAATGGACTGAGACCAGCTGATGGGATATTGCGCAATGTTGCCGACAGACGGCACAATATATTCCCGTTTGCACAATATATTTTCACGACACCACACAATATATTGGACAACATTTCAATATTGCCCACATACAATCAAATATATTGCACAAACCAAAATATTGCACAATAATATAGAACGTCTACAGGCCGCTTAAGAGAAATGGTGTACATGTTATGGTGTATAATTACTAGATTGTACAAGTGAAATTGTATGAGACAGTTGAGCTAACTCACTTCTAGTCTATTAAACGAACATTGCATTTAATTGCTCCCTTTCCAGTTCCATCTGTGCTCTGCCATACCCACAGAAAAACACGGGTGATCAAATAAAAGATTACCAAACACCTAATACGGAGATAATAAATGCTACAACGTCAGACTTTTTCTGAGAAAAAAATGCGCTTAATTACTAACAGCCTACTCGATTTCTGTCTATATACTCACCTATTAAGGTCTATTATACAGCGATTAAAAGCCTCACTGTCGCACCCCATCAATGAATTCAAACGCGTTATGGTACGGTCGATCCATCAGGTATTTTCTGAAACAAAGAAATCGTATGGGAATCTAATCGAACGCCTAAAAACTGCTGTCAAGTAGGTTGAGTCTGTAGTTTGCACGCAATTCTCTCATGGATTACGTTAGTTTCGGTGTATTTCCTACTTTAACGCCATATGAACTATGATTAAAAAAAATCGTCGAGAGTCGATCTACGTAATCCATGTTTTTAACAAAATGGGACAATTCGTAATTGCAGGTTGTGCTTTACTGATACTATAGATATAACATTTACAACCTTTTGTTCCGGACATTTAGAGGAAGGAAGATAGGATTCAGTGAGTCTCCGTTGATACTATCATATGACGAATCTGAGTTAAATTTAATTAGGATACAAAAAGCCATACGCAACGTCGCAAACATTCCTACAAATATAGCTGCCTGTTTTCGACGAAGACATGGACTGCGCCTACTTGTTTCGCCGAGTCAATTTACTGATGTATATATATATATATATATATATATATATTTTCCTGTTCAGTCCGTAGCTTCGCCGCCACTGGGTCCATTTTCAAAACATACAAAACTGTTTAGGCCTTAGTTGTAACCATGTGTCAAAATTTCTTCACCAAGATCCGAAAGGTACTATCAAGTTATAGAGAGATCAAGAATAAATGGTCAGATAGAGTGACAGACAGACTGACTGACCGACAGATAGGCAGACAGACGGAAATAAGTGACATGGTTTTTTGTGAAGTACGTGTCATATAACATCTAAAAAACATGATAACTCATTTTCGAAGTTTTTAGCGATTATAGTATTTCCTAGTCAATGGCCGTCGAGGTACTGTCTTTCTTTGCCCAAGGACTAAAGCAGCAGCATCCCCTACATTTCATATTTTTATTGAAAAGAAAAGGTCGCCTGAACAAAACTACAGAGAGCAATTTGGGAAAGTTTGTCATCTTAAGACCTTTGAGACCCGTAAGAATATATTGTTTTTGTGGAATGACAAAGCAACAGATAACTTTCCACAATTACTTCTCGCTGTACTATTTGATAGTACAAATACGTAAGCGGCGATTATTTCAGGTAATTCTTATGCGGATACATGTATACGAGTACATGTGCCATATCATATCGGGAATCTTTATTATTTCTTGCCTTATTGGTGCTTAATTTTATTACCAGTATAGTCTAAGGTGTTATAAATATCCATAGCAGTAACAGTACCTGCATCTAAATTGTAGGACGTTACAGTAATATGAATATTTTATCGGTATAGGAAATAGATGTAGGACTTGAATTTAATCACTGGTAAGATATATCTATTCGCCTTGATATCCAGCCTACATATACACAATTACGAAGTACCAAAAAGAAGCTAGAGCTCATTTTTGGACAGGGACTAATTTTTTTTCATGCAAAAATAGTTATGAAAGCTGGTTTTGATAACAAGCCTTTGACCGGGTATTCCTGGGGCATAACCACATGTTAAAGGGAATTCTAGGGAATCTTATGACCTTGATGGGTGACAGTTGTCATGACGGCATTAGAATGTCAGTTTAATAACCAAAATGACGGTTAAATACTTATCATTTGGCCGCAATACACTTGCCCAATTATACAAATTATGCGTATGGCAATTTTCGCAATATCCTCCAAAATGCACCACAAAATCACTATGGTCTCACGTGAAAAATGCTGAGAAAGATCCAATATTTTTAATTAACCAGCTTTTTTTAAAAGATAAACATTCCCAGAAAGTGAATCTCAGCATGGAAGTTTACAGGTAAATTGATAAAAAAATGTATTTAAAATTAATGGTTCACAAAAATTGGATCACTTATCGTCATTTACTGTTCTGTAATTGCAAAACGTTCAATTGCAAATAACCTTCTCAGACAGAACAGTGCAATAATTTTCTAAAACTTTTCCATCTAAAGATGGTCAAATGGTAATCAAATACAAAACATAAATATGAAGTAAATCTTCTGCGTTTACATATTAGAATTTCATGAGGAAAACCAAGCCATTTTAAAATAAGTAGTTTTTCAAAAATTAACAGACAGACAAGCCGGCAGATTGTTATGAACGAATGTCGAAGTTTTTGCACAAATTCTATAATTACGCAATTCTTCGCGTTAACAAAAGCGACAGAAAGGTCAGAAATTTTTTTGACTGTCACTCTTACCACAACTCTACTCAACATTAAATTTTCATGAATGGTGTCAAGTAGATTTACTTCACGCCCACGCCTTCGTTCTATGTTTCTAAGAATAGGAATTAGTCAGGTTTTTCAAAAAACGGAATCGAATTTTGACTAGGTAGCTCCACTTAAGCAAGATGCATCGAGGATGTAACAAATCAAATTAAGTGACATAGAAAAAGAACAATCAGTAATAATGAATTTATTACAAAAAATTGTTTGGTATGTTTACCTAGGATAGGACTAAAAACGATCAGTTTTTCAACCATATCGTTAAATTGTTTTTGTGATATCTTCTGTTCTTATAAAAAAGTAAGTAGGTAGTAATTGTGTTGTGAAGCTGCAATTGGCATTTGATCATCGTACAATATGTTGTGAAGAGCTGCTTCAATCTGTTCATTATGTTTTGAGTGAGAAGGCGAGAAAATTTCCAGCACTGAGCCTCTCACCAGGGAACAGTTCAACCCACCTACCACATTGGAGTAGGTGATTAGAAGTATCCTCCTCTCCATTACAATATTCGCAGTTCACGTACTCTCTCTTTCCTACCCTTTACAGCTGGCTGTCAAAACAACTATGTCCTGGGTTTGGTTAGTTATGAGCTTACTTCATATAGTATAGTCCTCAGTTTTTCTTACCTCTCACTCCTAGGTATTGGTGCAGAGAACGGCTGAACTGGGACTTCGAATAGAATAGCATTGTCTTTAGTGATGAATCCAGATTCTACTTGGGGATGCATGATGGTCGTGCAAGAGTGAAAGGCGACGAAGTGAAAGACCAGATTCTAAATTTTCTCTGGAAACGCGTGTGCATCATATTGTTGGATTTATGGTATCGGGGGCTATTGCCGAAAGAAGTAGGTCACCTTTGGTATCAGAAGCAACAGGCCGCCGTGCGTTACATCCAGATATGAGGAAACCACATTTTTTGCCCTATCTATCTATACAGGGTGTTCCGGAAGTCGACTTCAAAATATAAAAAAAATCTTTTCTTATGAGTGACGGATAGTGTCATTCTAGATAGTGACAGCAAGACAGATAGTAAAGCCACTTTTATTAATTCATGATTCTACCAAAATACCTAGACACACACTATTTGTACACATAACAAAACAGCAAAGGTAGCAAAAACTCTTCGATAAACTAGCAACACCGCAATCCAGGTACCAGATAATCCTTGGCATTGGAAAGTACCGCTCGAATTTAGATGAGATTTTCACTCAAGGTTACTACTATGCCAAGGACGAAAAAGCTTTGTAGATTACGAAAATCGGTCGAGTGACAGCGGCGAAATGGGCCAAAAACGAAAAAATAACTTTGACACTAAAGGTAAAACATGTACAACTCTCTACCCTCTACAACCCCCAACCTCAATTTTCAACCCCCACAAATATTTTTTTTGTCTTTTGCATAGTAGTCTTTTGAGAACATTTCATCAAAACCCGAGCGATTCTTTCCAAGTTATAGGCAAGCCAATGATTAGCAGACAGCAGACCGATAACATCCAAGAAACATTATATCTTATATTCGAAAAATTTTACAATAGGTACTTCCTCGGTAGTGACGAACTAAGTAAAATTCAACATTAGCTTCAATAAATCATTATTGACAAACTATAATATGTTGGATAATTACAGAGATGATACTGGAAATCCCTCAATATTCAAAAGTGTTGTGGAGGCAGAAAAGATAATTAAGAATAAATACCAGGACAAAGAATATTCCTACTTTTCAGGAATGGAAGATTACAATAGCTTAGCAGTGAAATTGTTATTGGGCGATGATTCCGTTTTTATATGTCAAAAGAGGACTGCGACAGTACAAGCTGTAGGAGGTAAGACACAACTACCAATAAATAATTAGCAATTTTGATGGTTCACTGTATTGTTCGGTTGACATTGACAAGACTTTTCCAGCAAAGGGGTAATACCCAAAAATTTTATCATGATGAAATAGCGACGTTTTTTCTTCAAAAATATTGGGTTTTTCCTATAAGTTAGATGTGGTGAAATTTGCCCTCCGAAGTTCTAGGCTGGAATTTTTTCAACGTCAGGTTCTTAAAATATGGTCCTACTTCTGTCATGTCTAACGTTAACAGCTTGACATGGAATGTATGGTTACGTTCCATAGGCCTGGTTGATTCTGATCGGCGGATTTTCGTAAGGCTCGGCATATATATCACACAAAAAACTATTGTCTTTCAAAAAAATATCCAGCCATCATATTGAATACACTCCGCGACATGCGCAGCGTTCCCATTGCCCCTACTAAATAGAATCACACGTCCCCTTAAAATTTTCAGCGGTGGAAATAGCTGTAGGAATCATGTACTCATCTTTACCATTTAGCTGTCTTTTGTTTTCCAAGCACATTAATAGGCACTAATCCCCGACCGCGACTTTTTGAATTGAATCGGATGATCTTCATTTTCGAAAATCTAGACAAGCTTTATCTTTCGATTATAACATCCAAAAATATAATCTGTTGTCATCTGGGATGATTGCATTTATAGTAATATTCTGTCCAGATTCAAATCGGTTATCGACACATCTGCCTATAATGAGGTAATAAATATCGATAATAGTGTGTTTATCTGCATGCATCGAAGGCAAATGCTTTGTTTATATATGTCAAGATACAAGGTTGAGAGGTACTGGTAGAAGTGTGAAACACATTCGGTGGTAGAGTTTTCTCACTTTTAAATGATCTCATTATTCCAGTAATCTTGGTGGAAGTGTGAAACACATTCGGTGGTATTTCCAATAAACTGAATTATTCGAGTATTTTTCGATACATAACAAATTTTTTCATCACTTTTTGATCTAAGTTGCTCTAGCCATGCTCTGTGCGTCAGTTGAAGGATGGGGTACCCACTGGTACAGAGGTTCCTCACTTTTAAATAATCTCACTATTCGAGTAATTCTCCCAAAAGTTTGTTCAGAAATATTCAGTCTCTACTAGCTACCCATATGTGATCTGACTGCCTTTCATTATAGCTTCTCTTGCATGTTATACGTTCTTTTATTTTGCGACTTGTGTGACCAGCCTGAACTCTGATTCTTTTCTTTTTACTTTGTCACAGGACAAAACTTATCCCGTGTCCTACGAAAATGAGATTTTCCAATGCACGAATTTAAAAAACGTGAAGAGGCATTAAGCTGCATTGTCCTTGAAAAATAGATCAGCTACTGAAACGCTATTTTGTCTAGGTAGGGAATACTTTCTTTGAATATAGTCTAGGAGCAACCACTGAGGTCACGTTTTTCGTTATTTGTCCCCATAGTTTGAATGCGGAATATTATTACGCACCTACAGGAGTATATAAAATATCACGTCACGCGATCCCAATCGTGGTCATTTGGCCGTTATATTTAAAAATAGCCGCCAAGTTGTAAAACGGTTATTCAACATACCTATGTAACAGGTGCGCCATTTTTAACTTTTTAAATCCCATTCTACTCCTTTTTTTAAATATCTCTCACGATTTGGATCACGTAATATGATTTTTATATACTCCTATAGGTGTCTAATAATGTCCCGCATAAAACTGAGGGAACAATATAACTCGTGAACTTAACGCCTGCTCCTAGACTAACAAAAGTGTAAGAAAATGTATCGTTCATCACTTCGCAAATCAATATCAACCAACAATTTTGATTATGCCTGATATTTTCAGCGACTGGGTCTCTCTGCATTGCCGTACATTTTTTTGGAAGACATTTTTCAGGCAATAAGAAAATTTACCTGTCCAATCCTATCTGTCCTATCATCCCAAGTATTTGCGAAACAGCTAGTTTGGTTGTCGCATGGTATCGATACTACAATCTAAAAACTGGAGGAGTTGACTTTGAAGGATTTTTAGAGGATGTTTTCGAGATGACACCCAGATCTATTATCTACTTGCAATGTGAGTACTAAATATGAAATCAACCGTAGTTGAATTTCCAAAGCAATAGCATTAACAAGTTGAAATTTCTATCACATACTACAGCTACTGAAAAGATAAGAGAGAAGAAGCTCCCAAAACTATGTTTTTTTCAGGCTGTGGTCCTGACCCTACAGGCGCAGATCTAACTAAAGAGCAGTGGTGTGAACTTTCTGAAGTAATAAAAAAAATGAAACTTTATCCACTCTTTGACGTGTCGAACCAAGGTTTGGCGTCGGGAAACATTGATGATGATTCATATGCCGTAAGACTATTCGCTGAGCAAGGACACAGTTTGGCTGCTACACAAAGCTTTTCACGAAATATGGGTCTATACAGTAAGTATAAAAAGGAAGACTTTCAGCAAAGTATGAATGATTTTTCGCAGACATCCTTGTTGAATGTAAAAAAACTATACAGTAAGCATAATTACTAAGACTTTCAGCATAAGCATCAATATTTTTTCGCAGTGATTAATTATTGAATGACAAAAAACAATCTAGGGTCTCCCACAAAAAATGGAAAGTATTTTTATGAGCACACTGGGAAAAGATATTAAAAATCTGTTTCCGTGGCAACCTTGATAATATGTCCCTAGTGCTTATTTTAAAATTATTTTGATACGTACAGAATGTTCCATAACATCGCGCCTTAGAAAATATATATTTTTAAATAGAATACCCAATATTTCATTGCATAATTGGATAGAGCTTCTAAAATTAAGATGTTTAAGATCATATATGGTTTTGATTGTCAATTGTTTAGATATTTAGTAAAATGTTTGAAAAAATGACCAACTTTGAGGGCTTGCAGCTCCACCATTTTTGAAGATATTTAAATAAATTTTATAATCATCGATTTTGAGCTGATGTGAAAAAAATGCTGAAATACCTTTCTATTTATACAGGGTATCTAAAACGCAAAATGTACCTTTTCTCATAAATTTCAAATGAAACATCCTGTATATTTCTATATCATTGAATAGCATTCCTTGGGTACCTTTTCTTTGGTGTATGGTTTATACCTACCACTTTTTTCGAACAGTTTTCGTGTTATTGCTATTAATTCTAAGAAAAAAGTATACTCAACATTTAGATTTAAAATCAGATTTTCCATGAAAGCAATGATTTTTTTTCGCACAACAAGACTCAACTTAACCCAAGACAGTCATTCGTTATGAAATTGTTGTAATACATTCCAAGTAGTTCTATTGATTCCCAGATGCTTGATTTCAGATCCAGTATGTTTTCACAACCACGTTGTTTCAGCAAATTGGGTAACACGATTCCCTATTGTGTTTAAGTCAAAAGACCATATATTACTGATGTTTAATAGAACCTAGCGGGTCTCATAACCGTATCTAGACCACTGGCGCCCTAATAGTTGGATAGAGATAGGCGGATCGAACAATTGGCAAGCAATATCTCTCGATCTGACGCCTCTCGACTTCTTTCTCTGGGCCATGTAAAAGAAGAGGTTTTGCAAGAGAAACCTACAACATTCGAGGACATGATCGTAAAAGCGAGAAGTTTGAGTAGATACCTAGAAAAACCCTTTTAGACATTCAACATATTTTCAACAGGCGTTGAACAATTTATTAACGATTCATTACCTTAGGCTGAAATTATTTTTGTTGTGCTAAAAGAACTTCGATTTACCTAAACATATTGAAAAATGACGGAGTTGCGCGCAGTTAAAGTAAAAAATGTAAACAGTTGTCAATCGCAACCATATGTTATATGATATGAAACTTCTTGTTATTAAACTTTTTGTTTTTAGAAGCTCTATTCAAATATGCAATAAAATATATGGTGTTCTATTTAAAAAAATATAATTATTTGGTATGACACGAAGTTATGGACCATCCTGTATATATTAAAATAATTTTAAAATATGCACTACCACGGCTGCCACGAAAAAAGATTTTTGATGTCTTTTCCAGTTTGGTCATAAAACTGCGTTCCATTTTGTTGGGACACCCCGAATATAATACATCAAGATATTAACCAAATTCTCAAAAGGATAAACGTTTAGGAAAGCACAACTGAAACTTGAAAAACATTCAAGAAGTATAATAACAATTTTTTGACCACACGGAGTCACTTGTTCATTTTATGTTAATATAGGTGAGAGAGCTGGATTACTGACCTTTATTGCACATTCTCAAAAGGAGACTGAAGCTGTCCAAAATAATCTGGAGAGAATCGTGGGTCTAACTACATATGGATGTCCCATTAACGGAGCTAGAATGGTAACAGAAGTTCTCGGGAATGGACATATACGGAAAATGTGGTTGCAGGAATTGAAACAGATGACTGACAGGTAAATAGAGAATAGACACGGATCATATTCTCGTTCTTCAAACGTATAGCCACCTAAGCCACAGAACAAAAGCATCAATAAATAGGTTTGTCCTGTGCGATAATGCCGATGTATGTCCGCCTACATCATGCTTGTGCTACACAAGCGTTCAGCTATGGCTATGTTTACACCGTGGCTACCCAAACGTGTAAACGGGCACAGAGCGGCATAAACGCACGGAAAACGGATTTATTGCGGTCACAGTGTAAACCTGATCTTCATAACCCTAGAAAGGTAATCGACGTCCACGGGACGCATGGCGCAACAATATTATTTTTTTTTCTTTACTACCAATCGCAGCGTGCTAGCTGCTCAGGGTTGCCAGGCGTGGCGATTTTTCGCCAAAATGGCATTTTACATCGAAAGTTAAAATCGAAAGACTTAGTTATATTAACTTAAAATGTTCCAAATATTCAAATATAAAAACTAGAGCTCAACTCAAATCATTTAGAAAATAAACTAGGTCTTTTGTTAATTTGTTTAAAAGTTTAATTTCGCTAAATTGTCATATTTCTTGCCGTAGAATTTAAACAGTTACTCTAAATTGTAATTTACGTCAGAAAATAAATGGTTCAAATTAAAAATCTTAATTATTTCACATACGCCTCCTAGACGTATCATTAACTTTATTATATGATTATCTTTTTAGGGTTAAGGTGGAGTTTCCAGGGGTGTGACGTTTATTTATCATTATAAAAAACTTGAATCTCAAACTGACAAAGATACACACTTAATGATAGGACACAATTACAAGGGCGCATTCCTGAAACAAATTTAAGAAGGAAAGTGCAAATAGACATGTGCCCTAGGTCTGGATTCCAAGGTGTCAAAGATTAAAAAAAATGGTTTTTGACAGAGGAAAATAATAGCAAACTATTACGTAAAGCCAAAAATATGTTCATAACAACAGAAAATTCCCTGGCAACGATCAAAGTTGATTTAATCTTATTTTAATAATTTTTAGACATGTTATGCTGTTGTTTTTATATTTTTCCTCGAAAACAAAGTAACAAAGAGATACCAAGAGACAAAAAAGTTGTCGTTTGTAAAACTGCCCCCGAGACGCCACTGGTGTCTATAATTATCTTTTAGTTAGTGCTAAATTAACGTCTTATTGCAATGAAAACTACTGCCAAAATTTCACACAATCGGAGGAAGGGTCTTTGAGATGTTGATAAAATCATTTTTTTTGTTTAACACCCTGTATGTTCAAAACTAGACTTTTTATGACACATGTTTAAATCACTCTTTCTACTTAAATTTGTTTCAGGAATGCGTGTACTTACGGCTTTTTACCGGATTTGTTTGTCTCCAAGTATACCAAGCTATTTTTCTTGTCTTCTAACAGGATAAAATCGATGAGAGTAACTCTTAAGTCAGCTCTAAAAAATGAAGGTTCTAAACGCAATTGGGATTATATCACTCAACAGAGAGGCATGTTCTGTTTTACTAATATGACTCAGGAGCAGGTCAAGAAAATGGCAGCAGAACATCACGTATATATGACTAATGATGGAAGGATTTCAGTTCCTGGACTTAACAAGGCAAATGTGAAGTATGTGGCAAAGGCAATGCACCAAGTGACGATGTGAACGTTTTGTTAATCTTATTTGTTTCTGTTAATAAAGTTATGTGCATAAAAGATTAGTTTACATGATGCTATCTCCCTCATATCAGTTAAAATGAAATCAAAACGGACTGGCTCAGTTGTCCTTTCCTTTCCAAATCTTTAACAGTCGATTTCAGTGTCAGAACATGGGCAACTCCTCAGCATGGAGTTGTCAAATAGCACGAAACAGCTGTCCATGGTTGGACGAACGAAAGCTATATTACTAGTTTATTCAATGGCGAGTAGACCATACGTAACATAGCACCAGAATCAACGGCATCTAGCGGCTACAGTGGTGACCCGGCTAATAATGTGAACTGGGATACAGTTTCAATTGACATCTTGCTGTTCATTTTCGCAGGTAGATTGTCTTATTTCGAACGATATTTTTATTTGTCGCTTGAATGGACCTTGGTCTGTTTATTGGAGCTAGCAATATCTTTATTGGATATTACATGACATGCACGTCACTAATTTCTGCCGGTAAGAACCGATTTGATAACGAGAAAACTTTGACTCGAGGTTACTGCGATGCCAAGTTCGAAAAAGCTTTGTAAGTTTTTTATATACCGAAGAATCCTAAATACCAGGGCACCTCGACTGCTATGAGGAGCTTAAAGAAACTTTGTTAATCGAATTTCTGAATTGCCTAAGGTTAGTAGTCTTGAAAAAAGCCTCCTATGGTAGCTTGTCCCACAATCTCGATACCCTAGTGGCAAAGGAGCGGACTTATCGGCTAGTTCTGGATGTACGAAGTTTGCGGTAGAAGAGAGCCAGATCGCCCACGGCCCGTCGGTGAGAAAAGGTCCCGAGACTTTCCCTTAGAAAACAGTCATCGATCAGTCGGACAGCCCTCCTCTCCCCCTGTCTGGGCCTTGTACAGAATAAGGAGGTCTTGTGGAGAAAAGTACTTCTTAATTCTAAACAAATAGCCTAACTTTTTCCCAGCAGCTGCCACTGTTGACGAGATGCGTTCGTGACAGACCAATTCCTCGGTGATATGGATTCCGAC